TGCAGCTTGATGAGCTGGTGGCCGCGGCTGTTGCCGGGACATTGCAGGTGGAGTGGGGGGAGCTGGAGTACCTGGTTGTGGATTTGCCTCCTGGAACCGGTGACGTGCAGCTCTCCCTGTCCCAGCTCCTTCACATCCAAGGTGATCTCACCACCAAACCACACATTTCTACCACCACACTCGCCACCACACTCACCTTGCTTACCATAACACATTCCTGCTGGAGGGAGCTGGTAGGAACGTTGGGTTGCTCGGTCAATGGCCAGGGTCAACGGCGGCGTGGTGTATTCCGCAAATATGCCCGACTGTGAGGGCAGGCACAAGCCGGCGTGAGTAGGTTAAACGTTGAGTTTTATAAGGGCACCACGGGGTGACCAGCCCCTCCCCACCCAGCCCCTCCCCACCCAGCCCCACCCCTCCCACCCTCCACCCAGCCCCTCCCCACCCTCCCCACCCAGCCCCACCCTCCCCACCCAGCCCCACCCTCCCCACCCAGCCCCTCCCCACCCACCCAGCCCCTCCCCACCCACCCAGCCCCTCCCTCCCCACCCAGCCCCTCCCTGCACAACAGACGGACGGACAGAATACTCCCTGTGGGCTGGTGTAACCAGAGGTTCCTACCAGTACTACAGAGTGTCCCTCTGTCCCTATCTTCCTGTGTCTCCATGTCCCCATCACTCCGTTTTGCCGTGAGTCCCTGACTCCATATCCCCTTGACTTCGTATTCCCGTGACTCCGAGTCACCCTGTCTGTCCCCGTGTCTCCGTGTAGGTGCCGTCATCGTATCCACACCGCAGGACCTGGCATTGATGGATGCGAGGCGCGGGGCTGAGATGTTTAAAAAAGTGGACGTTCCCGTGAGTAATGGAGGACCCGTGGATTAATAGAGACAAAGAAACATGGGAATTCACACACAAATATGGGGGACACGCATACGCACAAGAGCACAAAGTGATATGGGGACATGGGAACACAGTGCCAATCAAACACGGGAAGCACAGAGTTACAGAGAAACTGAAAGACACGTGGACACAATAGACATGAAGATACATGAGAAATGGGGGACCCCAGGTAAGGGCCAGAGAGACTAAAACATGGGGACACACATATATGAATGTCACTCAGTTACACCTTCTGCCAGCGAGCCTTCCACCCTTCACTTTGTCTCAATTCAACAAGCACCTTTGGTGAAGTACCTGCCACATAGTGATGAATGGCCGCTGTTGTTGTTCCTGTGTTCCTGTGGGGAGCGGTAGTGCAGCGGTTAGTGCACTGCACTATGAACCAGGTGACCCAAGTTCAATTCCTGCTCACGGCCAACACCAGTGATAAATAATCTGAACCAGTCCTGAGTCTCCCCTAGGTCGGCTCGGCCTCACATGAGCACCTGGTGCAATGTGTGAACGTCGTCACGAGGGAGATTAAGGTGGCCGGGCTGGCCACCCACCCCCTCATGTGTCATGCCGGCCTTGATAAGTGCTCCTCGTTAACAGCACTTGGCCACAAAAATCTATCAAGGCTACACGGGGGGGGATTTTTTGTCTGTATTCCTGTGCATATGTTACATGTGTGTTCGCACGCAGGTTTTGGGGGTGGTGGAGAACATGAGTGTGTTCACGTGTCCTGCGTGCGGACATCGCACACACATATTCGGAGCCGAGGGGGCAAGGCAAATGGCCACCAGCCTTGGCCTACGCTTTCTCGGTGAGATATTCCGACGTGAACTCGCACAAATACTTTTAATCATCTTGTCGGGTATGCGCCGTGTTGTTCGGTGGTGTGTGAGGCGCTAACCGGTGCATCGTGGTGCGTTGTTGGGCGTGTGTACAGGTGAGGTGCCTTTGCACATCAGCATCAGGGAGTCATCAGATAGTGGGAAGCCGATTGTCATCTCTAAGCCAGGAAGCCTAGAGGTGAGAACACGCCTAGGCGCATCGCGTGACTGAGTGGTGGTAATCATTTCATTGTGCCGTTATTCCAGAACCCTAGGTAGGATTCCTCTCCACAGCTATGTCCCTAATCCTATTAAGAGGCTGTTCTCAAGCAAAAAAAAATGGAATGTCCACCACCCACTCAGGGCCACGGACAGAGATGAGCATCACCATTGGCTCATTTGAACAGGGAGACATCCTGTTCATGGCGTGATATTGCACATATAACGATTCGATTCATTATAATTGTTACACCCAAGATACGGGCATCGAATTGTGCATGTAAGAATCAGTTACTGTGTGGAAGAATCATCTGGTCGTACGCAATTTTATGCAAATGTGACCGTTTGGCAAATGGTAAGGAAAGAACACATGCTAAAGTACAAATTACAATTCCTTATGGCATTGCAAGGCAGTGGGTCAAAACCTGCCCGCCTGCTAAATGATGTTGTATTGCAGTATGTGTTTGCTGTGTATACTCTGCGTATGATGTGTATGTGCTGTGCACCAGGCCGAAGCCTACCTCACGATTGCCAAGGAAGTGATCAAGAGCCTCGGGGAATTGCAGACGTGACCAACTGGGGTCACGACCTGAATGGGTGGTGACCAGAGTTGGATTGGGCCACTTAGCAACCGGGCCTGTGCCCGGTAACCCGGTGCTGGAGTTGGTTCATCGTACACTCGCTCAATGTAAATCTGTCTCGCCAGTCAGTCAGCACGTGAATTGTTTTTTTTGCAGAGTGCGTAGACCCGAATCCAGAACCAGATTACTGGCAGATACCTGGTTTCCTATTCGTCTCGGCCTGTTCTTGAAAAAGGGCAGTTTTAGAACTTGCACTGGCTGTTATTGCACAGTTAAGACATCCTCGCAATGTCCAAAACGATCTGCAACCAAAATACATTTCCAAAACGCACTGCCTGTGCACCTGTTTGCACATACAGTTGAAGTTGGATTGGGAGGGTCACTCAAGGTTAACTCATTGGGGCTTTTACGCAGCAGCTTGGATAAATTCAAGACGGTAGGAATTAGGGGTGGCAAGAAAAACTCACTGCAAATTAAATTTGATTCCATTTGGTAATTTAATATTAAAATATGTTTGAATATATTTTTAAGTTGTGTCCTTGTTTCTGTGTGTGGTGCGTCAACCATGTGTTACGTTTGACCGCTTTTACAATCTAGGGATTGTGCGTGAGAATCCCTGTGCTGATGTTGACAAAAGACAAAGATCCCCCATATAGCCTGAACAGACTGTTGGGGCAAGTGCTGTTAGCAAGCACCTATGAAGGCCTGGCACGGTACACGAGGGGGTGGGTGGCCAACACCGCGCCCGGCCGCCTTTGTCTCCCTTGTGGCAATGTTTACTACACACTGCACCAGATACTAATTTGAGGCTGAGTCGACTTAGGGGGAGGCCCAGGACCGGTTCAGATAATCGTCACTGGTGGTGGCCATGAGCGGGAATCTAACTCGGGCCGCCGGGTTCGTGGCGCAGCACGCTAACCGCTACACTACCGCATTTACAGAGACACAGCGAGTCACAAAGTTTAAAATGAAAAAAAGTTACAAATGCTTACAGTTCACCAACACGTTTATTTAAACAACCATATTAAAATAACCCATAATGTGCTTAAGCTCCAACCGTCTGTTCATATGAGTTCACGTTTTGAAATTCATTTCCCCATGAATGAGGGGTAGTCTAAAAGTCGTATCTTAGTAAATGCATATTACAAAAAAGTTTGTTTTAAGTACAACACAGTATTTACACATTTCAAACAGTACATATGAACCCAGCCGATGATAGAAACGTCTTTAACATTTATTTCAATCGGCATTGCATGGAGTTGCCCGCAGAGGGTAGTGTAGCAAAATCCATTGTACCACCACACTCCGTGCCGACCTATATTGTCCCCACCATCACCGCCTTTACCAACCTTGCATGGACCAGCGTCGTTAACCGGGAATCTAACAAGTGTGAGCAGTCGGTAGCAAGCTTTCTTGGGATAACACAGCAATTATTAACCCCTAATGGCACACAATGCCCATTTGCAGGCCATGTGTTGTGTCACCTTGTGCCCACAGCAACAGTTGTCAGAGTGCGATCTCAAATCGTCGTCATGATTACCACCACGGCAAAGCAGACAGCTCGGGTTGCCGCGATTTCATTTTTCACTTTACGACATAAATGTTCATGGTGTCATGATCATCGCAATAGTTCCAATGGAATAGCACGTGCCCCTTTATAAGGTCACGTGTACGCACCGTATCGACATTTTTCACCAAAATGAAGCAGCACGCTCGACGGGGGAATGGAGAAGCGCCCTTTGCCTGAGAAAATCCAAATGGCTCAATTCTCAAAACATTTTTACGCACGAGCACATTGATAACATATCATGCACATTCACAAAAAGAAGATTGTGAATGCCATACCAAAGAAATACCAATGTAACGTTACAGGTTCGTGTATGGTTCTCTATGGACCTTAATTACATCCAAGTTTTAATTAATTTTGCACGTACAGCCCTTTTGTAAATGCAACTGTGGGTCATGGGTGTTAACTGACCATAATTTACTACGGTGATCGGATTTGTGAAGGTGGGGAGCATAGATCTGCAGTACAGCAATGGATTTAGCTTCACTCCACACGACGTTTTATGCGAGGTGGCCGCCCATTCAATCACCGTCAAGGTTTAGACCCTGCCTAGCTTCCAAGCTCTGATGAGATCGGAGATGTTCAGGGTGCTGTGATCATAGGTTTAACCACTTTAGCCACAGGTGATTTGCAAATGTGAGACTTTTGTTCGGGATGCTGGAAAACAAAAGTCCAGTCTTGTGAATGATTTTATGTCAACAAATGGCAAGGTTTAGCAATTTCAAATATATCACTAACTGGCCCACAGCAAACTCACCTTTGGCTGTGCAAATATGTACTGTGGCAGTCGCATCGATTGCAAGGCTATCCCCATATTTGGTATCCTCACTTTAAAAAAACACTTTTAATTTGACTTAAAAGCACAGCTTAAACATACACATATAAAACCATGCTCGGGCAACATTGAAAAATGACTAAATGCCACTGGTTAGAGCACTCAACGCGAAAAAAAGGTAGCGAATTGAAATCTCAGTTTTGGATGGAATTAAGTCTCTCATCTTTCTGGGGTCCATAAATAAAGTACCACTTCATGAGAGGTCATCAGTGGTTGGCCTGGCATGAAAACAGCCCAATTCGTGGGAATGTGGAATTTTTGAAACTACCTCAGGGTTACACCAGCGACAGCGTTTTGCTCACTTGACCATAAAGACACCTTTAAAAAAAAAAGTTATTCACAGGATGGAACGTCTCTATTGAAAGCCACGGTACACGGGTGGGGGGGGGAGGGCGAGCTACACATACAGGTCGTTTTCACGCGAGTGGTTCCGTGAACGCCTGGGCCGGTCTGCCTGGGGCTTCGGCACAGAGGGCGGCTCGCTCTGGCAAAGCGCCGTCGATGGCTCCGACACCCGGTAACTGCTTTTGGGTGACCGCGTCATGGGCATGGCGCTCTCGCCGTCGCCGTTTCCGTTTACGGCGCGCGCCTTCCCTTCGTGCCGCTGGAACTGGCACAGCTTCAAGGCCGCGAACACGGCGCTCACGACGTACAGGATGGCCAGGATTATGCCGAACAGCGCCGTGGCGGCGTCCCCGCCCTGCACGGAGCAGTTCATCCACGTGTAGCCGCGCCCGGCGTAGACCCGCTCGCGCTTCTTGCAGGTGTCCGTGGCGTTGACGTTGATGACCACGGTGAGGTAGAGGGCCACCCCGACGACGCTGAGCACGAAGGCCAGCACGGAGAAGACGAAGTCGGCGATCAACCACCGGCGCGAGCCGCGCAGGCCCCGCTTCGTGCCGCCCACGAGCATGCCGAGCGTCATGCAGAAGAGCGAGATGCACACGGCCACGCCGCCGTACACGGCCGGCGAGCGCATCTGGCTGTAGGCCCTGTCGAGCTCCTGCACCTGCTGCATCTCCGTGCCCTGGAAGGGGCTGTAGGGCATGCTGTTTATGCTCGACGACCCCAGGTTGAGGCCACCCATGGCCGTGTGTCCCGCCATGGAGGCCTGGGAGGCCGCCACGCAGATGAGCGTCATGAGGCTCACCAAGATCTCCGTGAGCTTCAGGACTCCTGCGGGGGCCAGCGGCGACGCACGCGCAATGAGCACAGCTTCTGTTTGGCACCGACAGCGCGCGTGTTCCTTGCCCGAACTTAGTTTGGATTTTTTTTTAGGCTTCGCGCTGTATTGTATAAACTAGAAAAATCTAAAATGTTTTTATTTCTACCAGTTAAGGTCCACTGAGCTAGAATATATTTTTCCTAAACGACTTGGCGGCCACAAATAATAGCTCAACAAAGTGGCTTATCACGTAGAAATATAGAGCAGCCAAACACTTGAAATGCATGTGGATTCTAATTATGAATGGAAAAACCGGAGGACCCGGAGAAAAATCCACACGACCATGGGGAGAACACGCAAGCTCCAAGTATACAATCTTAATTTGAAGCTTTTGTGACTGCAGGAATCCATACTCTCTGATTCTCTCGGTAAAGTCACGTAGATAGAATTTTTTTTTTTAAACACAACGTTTCAGTCGCAACACAAGAGGCCGTCTTCAGGTGAGAAAAAATGTATACAGGTGTCAGGGCCGGGATCGAACCCACAACCTCCTGTATACCAGGCGAGGAAGTTTATTAACATCTCGCCATGGTGGCAAGATGTTAATAAACTAGTAAGTAGTGAGGGTCAGGTGAGCAGTGAATGACAATGGTCGTATGAGTATCATGCAAGTGTCCTCATGCCCCGACCCAACGGCAGCCGCCCCCACAAGTGTTTAACTCAGTTATATCACAAACCAGAAAGACTCTTAACCATCTCACTATCAATGCATTACAACAGAAAACATGCATATAGTAGGCCATAGTGTTAGGCAAATGACTATTTTCAGAACAGGGAGAACGCAACCAAATTGACCAATTATAGCTGTGAACTGCACAGCGTCTGCAAAAATTTGATGGCAATTGACTATGACTGGGTAAAAAGCCACGTTATTTAGCCCACCTCAAAACCAGAAATATCGAGTTTTTCAGTGAAAATTGGGTTCTATATTTTGAAGCAAATTCAAAAGTCACTGTTTTCAGCACAAGATGACAGCGTCAAAAGGTCAAGACGTCTCGCCGCTCAGAACGAGCACTGGAGCGGCGGCGGCCGTCACCATTGGTGGCTCGGATCCAGCGGCGGGATCTGTAAACTTTTTCCAGAGGGCAAAGAAAAACAACAACCGCTGTTGAATTCCAGATAAAGTGGTACTCGTTGCAATAACCCGGGGGGGGGGGGGAGGAATGTGAAAAAGAGCTTTACAGCTAATCGGATTCCTCCAATAAAAAAGATTGATAAACGTATACACAATCCATTGAGAGGCACAACATCATCTCAGGCGGAGATGTCATCACACCCGGTAGCATTGGTCATTTGCCAAGATCTTCCATTTGCTAAGCCTTTGTTCGGTTTCCAGGAATGTTGTCCAACATGTGTGTACACGCATTCACAGTGACAAACTTTATCTGTGCCCTGAAGATGTATAAGGCTTTCATGAGAGGCTACAAGATGCCGATATGACAGCGATGCTGCGAAAAAAGGCTTCCTGAAAGCGTGTACCAGGTATTCTGTTTCTGCCTCACTTTACTGAGCACTAAAGAGGCTGTAACGTCTGCCTCCGCGAGATGCGTCTTAACGCACCTAAGCCAGTTTTACATGACTTCCCTTTACAGTAGGCACGACTGCAAACAACAATGTACAGACCTTACACACAGGCCTCACGTTTCATGATGAACAGGAGGATCCCGGTAAAAAAGAAAACTTGATAACTCGCACAAAGCGTGACCGTCCTGAAACGTTGCTCTCGCCGACGGTAAGTTAAATTACCGCGTTGGTATTGTGGTGCACAGGCACAAATAACGAAGACTCGACACATTCGTCCATGGAATTGCCTTAGGAAGGAACAACGTGAAACAAGAGATGGCCTCAGAACTTTTACAGAAAAATCCTTTAAGTGATCTTTTTACAAGCGGCCACACTTTCTCGCCCACGCTGCATTGACACTGCCATGTGACAATTAAGCATTTTAGTTCTCAAGTCTGAAATAAAGCCCAAATTGAGCGCAAAACCACATTTAATACCATGGGGTTTTTTTTTTGTGTGTCCAGCCATTGATGTCTGAGCTGAGACCATCAGCCCACTACACTTGAGAAAAAAGTCACGGGCAGAGTCGGCTCAGCACCGACTTCTGAGCCACCCGACGCACAAAGTAGGTACTCTCCAAAGAATTGTGTTTAGAAGTGAAACTATTTTGATGGAATGGAAAACACTCGCAATGTTGTCAACGTCACTGGCTTCCTGTATCAACACACGCCACACGCTGTGTGAGCAATGCAACACTTGACTTAAGGACAGACTTCTGAAGAGGTTTCAGAATACAATACAAAATCATACTCACGCACCTCCGATTAGCACGTACATACATACTACAGTGTTAATTTGGAACAAATGTGCAATTGTAAATGATGCTGACATGCATCCCAATACAAGATGAGCATCTGAGGTCACCACAGCCAAAACTCTTGATGCCATTGCTTCCTTTAGACAGGTTCCCACAACGGATGCACAGTTAAACACTCGATCTCCAGGATCTCTCTGACAGTATCCTACCATCTGGCTTTGGGTCTCCCTCTTGGTCACTGACCTCCAAAGTCATCATCGATATCATAATCAGCCACGATCAATCCATTGCGGATTGAAGATCTCTGCAAGCAGTTACCATTCCCTCGCAGCCTTGTGATGCAACAATCCATCACCTACGCACGAGCCGATTTCTTCGGTCCAACTCAGCGATCAACACCCTTTCCAGTATCTTCCGTTCTTTGGCTGCCACGTCTGTCATTAGTCTTGACTACTGGCCATCACCCCTCATAGCGATGTGTCCTGCCCCAGACAATTTACTTTTTTTAACAGTCAATATTATGGTCACCGTTGGCCACTTCTGTCGCAGACGTGAGATGTAAATGTTCTGTAAAGCTCGCAAAGCATCAACATGCTGCCTTTGTACTATAGGAGTTGAGCAAATACCACATGCACTTATATATCCTCTAATCCACATGTTCAATGGATGAAATATATGACCATACTCCACCATGTTGGTCAGTGCGGGTTGGACAGTTCACACTACTCACACTCTGGTGACCCCCCTTCCCCCCAACTGTGTAAATAGCCAGAAAAAATACAAAGATCCCCCGTATAGCCTTAACAGACTGTTGGAACGAGTGCTGTTCGTGAGCACCTATGAAGGCCGGCACGGTAAACGAGGGGGTGGGTGGCCAGCACAATGCCCGGCCGACTTTGTCTCCCTAGTGGCGATGTGTACACACCACACCAAGTACTCATTTGAAGCTGAATCGACCTCGGGGAGGCGCATGACCGGTTCAGAATATTGTCACCGATGTTGGCCGTGAGCAGCAATCGAACTCGGGTCGCCGGGTTCGTGGCGCAGCGTAGCGCTAACCGCTACACCCCCAGGCACACAGCTGAACGTAAGCTGCAACGTTGGCCCTTCCTGGTCGCCGCCGCCGCCCCCCTATTATTGATCGGCGTCAAACGTGGAACGAGCGATGCCACGTGGGAGACCTTACCGCGCCTCGTGCAGACGTTCTCGCAGCACTTGCAGTTCAGCGGCCCTCCACTGCTGCGTTGGGGTTCTTCGTACTGGGAGTAGCCGCCCGAGTAGGCGCTCTGCGCGCCGTCCTGCCCATCGTACCTGCATAACGCTCGCGCCGGGCCCAGGCACGACGAAACATCAGCAACGTTCACAGCGCCACGCACAACGTGCAGCAGCCTTTTGTCGACGTAACTACACTGGACGAGGGCCCTCCCCACGCCATGTGGAGGCCGTACTTCATCACGCTGGTCGGTGTGAGTTGGTGAAGGCAGCGACCGCACATGTGTAAGTATAGAAGTACGGTACAACAATGGATTTTGCTGCACTGCCTGATGCTGCCCACCACATAGCCTGACAGCTGCCTACGGCAAACCTGTTTGTGCGTGGTGATAACAACCAACTCAAGCACTAACTAGGGCTCTACTCTCCTCAGTTTCCAAAATCAGGCAGATTCCGGGTGATTTGTTCAAATATAGATTGGAATATAGTCGATAAAGTTTGGTGATTTGTTGATACACAGTTATTGTTTTTATGTAAGACACAACACTGTCCACAAATAATGTGCTGGGAACACGTCCAGACATCACTTTGTACGCTTAGGTGGCGAGGTTGGCGAGCAGATGGCAAATACAGTTTTGTGAACCGATATTTGCCAATCTTGAGTATTACCCCTCCCCCCCAACCCCTGCATGGGTATTAGGATATTATCTGGTTACTCCACACACACAAAACACTCGTGAAATTGGACCTGCACAAACATCTACATGCAGGACTCTGCGAACACAGTTGGGGGGGGGGGGGCATTCCTAGATAAATACACGTTTCTTCTTGTAGATTCTTACACACGATCGCGCATTTGCAGTTGTTTCATCACGTGAGCGAGTCATGTTACCTGGAGTCTCGCTCGTGCTGCCACTCGTCCGGGTGCCGCGAGGAGCGTGCCGCGTGCGACATCTCGGCCACTTTCCCGGGTGGGCGGGTAGCCAGCCAAAGTAGCAGCGACTACAACAACAACAACAGCGGGTTCATTAAACGTAGACACATTCCTGCGGAGGGAGCTGGTAGGAACGTTGGGTTGCTCGGTCAATGGCCAGGGTCAACGGCGGCGTGGTGTATTCCGCAAATATGGCCGACTGTGAGGGTGAGCACAAGCCGGCGTGAGTTGGTTAAACGTTGAGTTTTATAAGGGCACCACGGGGTGATCAGCCCCTACCCACCCAGCCCCACCGCTCCCACCCAGCCCCTCCCCTCCCAGCCCCTTCCCAACCCAGCCCCTCCCCACCCTCCCCTCTCCACCCAGCCCCACCCCTCCCATTTTGGATGCACGACGGACGGACACAATAATCCCCTGTGGGCTGGTGGAACCAGCTGGTTCCTACCAGTATAAAGCTGTTTTTGGGTTTGAGGTGTCGTTAACCCACCACAACCAATTGATTGGCCAATTAATTATATTATGGATAATATTGGCCGCGAAAGCCTACGTGTTAAACAGAGCAAGGTTTGTGAACTACGCGAGTGGTATTTTAATGGGCAGGATGGATTGTGCGCTCGAAGGTTGTCAACAACCAAATCCCAAACGTGAAAGGTGAATAACCAAAAGAGAAAGCAGCAGCAGGTCAACGCAAGTGTAAATTACCATCTTCTCATGTCTCTTGTAATGCCTTCCTACCGGACATTATTATTTCAAATCTGCGATGGTCAATATGTTATCCATTTCTATGTATGTCATGATGCCTCCATTGCCATGGTAGCCTTGTTGTCACGGTTGTGTTCTCCAACGTTGGCTGCCAGTCCGTCCCTAGTCTCGACCGTCAGCCACCATCGCCGTACAGATGGGACCCAGGCCCACGAGTTACACTGCATTGTGTCAGGTACATTGACGTGCCGCCTTTGTCTTCCCGACACGCGTAAACATGACGTGATTAGAGCACGCCTACGTGTAGATCGCGTTGCCCGTTAGTCAACCTCTTGCTGCGAACACAATCTATTTCAGAACGAAACAGGAGGATTTATCCACAAATCTGGCTGTCGCCTGATGATGCTGGTTGTAATTACTGGCGAAAGGTCGCACTCGAATTGTAAATGTTGTGGATTTACTCTCCAACACACCGGTGTTGCTGTACTAGTAACGAATTGCCCACGTTCTGTTTACGTGTCCAATATTTACGCGATCTAACCCAACAAAAAACCTCTATTATGGATAATATTGGATCGCCAAAGCCATACTTACGTGTTTTAAACTGACAATCTGAACGGGTTACTGCAGGAACGAGTTACGAGGAGGTCATGATGGCCCACAATGCACGTCGTCGTCCCGACTTGTCACTGAAATTTCGATTTAAAAGAAAGAAAAAACCAAGAAGATTGTCACTGAAACATCTCAACCATTGCATTGCCTGCAAGGTACATGAGTGGCACAGTCAGTAGCTTGCACATCGAATCACCACGAGGTCACCATGAGTTCGACCCCGGGTCGAGGGGGTTGGCTTAGTGATGGGGTCAGGGGGTCAACTCCCCGAGCCCACCCCCATCACATCCGTTCATCCGGCGGTCGATAAAAACGAAGTTTTAGTACTACCTTGTGAGAAAACCCAACAACAAAGTGGGTCTTTGTTTAAAGAGACAAAACACCGCTGTTGTCATGGCACAGGACATGTGGACATGCCAACGCTCTGCTGCTGTATTCTAGAGAGACAAATACGGTCGGTTTGGTTGAAATGTTACACTACCAGCAGGCTCCTGCGTCAATGTGGTACGGGGTGGGGTGTGCGTGAGTTGACAACTGCTTAAAGCCAGACGTTTCGAGATACAGGCCTCGTAAAGTGACCGCTGCAGACTACAGGTATGAGAAATATAACAAACCGACAGACGATCCTTCTTCACCCGTACCTGGGCTCATGTCAACAAGCCAATTTACGAAGCATTACACGCCTTAAACTAACAGATGATCCTTAACTTAGACACAGAGTGGCGAAGTTGGAAAGGCTTCCAAAATCTAAACCCAATTCGCCCCGTATATTCGATGGATTTTGTAGCTCGGAAAACCATCAAATTTAAAATGGCCACATCTAATTGGTAACTACTGTATCTTGGTTCTTTCATTAAAGTCACGTAGATAGAAAAATAATAATAAAGTTAATAAATAAATAAAAATAATAAAAACACTAAATATAGACTGTAGCTTGGTTCTTAATCGGAGTGTACTGGCAGTCTATAATGTGGACTGTAGCCTGGTTATTAAGTACGGCGAGTGTACTGGCAGTCTATAATGTAGACTGTATCAATGGTTATTAAGTACGGTGAGTGTACTGGCAGTCTATAATGTAGACATTGTTACTGACGAGTGTGTGGCGTTGTTGTTGTTGTTGTTGTGTTCTTCTGCCCTCTCACCTGTTGTGTGGCGTCACCCACCGCGGCCCGAGTCGCGCAACTTCCGTGCCGACAATCAACCTCCACCACCCAGCCCAACCCGGGCTCCTTCAAAGGTCGACCACCCCCCCCCCCGGCCCCCTCCACCCTCACCACCTCCCCGACCTTCTTGCTTGTCCCGCGTACCGTGAAGCGAGGTTAATCACCGGTCCTTTCGATGAATCGAGGTAAAGAAGACGAGACGCCGCCTTGCCCGCGCAGGTAACTTTGCTACACCAACCTGGCGTGGTCAGAGCTGTGGGGCGTGGTCAGGGCGGTGGGGGGCGTGGTCAGGGCGGTGGGGGCGTGGTCAGGGCGGTGGGGGCGTGGTCAGGGCGGTGGGGTCAGAGCTGTGGGGGTGGGGTCAGAGCCTTGGGGGGCGGGGTCAGTGTTTTGGGGGTCGCTGTGGGGGCGGTGTTAGAGCTGCCCCCTGTGCCCCACCCCCGTGTGACGTCACTAGCCAGGTGCGGTTCAGGTGAGGGGTGAACACGGTCGGGTTGCCATCTTTGATCGACGTAAACCAGGGAGATATCAAGAGGAGAAGTAATACTTTAAAATACTTTATTAAAAAACGCTTTAATGAAATGTACCGTACGAGTAATGGCAGAACTCCACGACTCCAAGAAGTGGCCCCGAGGCTTGCCATAACGTAAGGGAGTGTGGTGATTTACAGCCAACGTCAGTTGAGCGTGGACAATTAGACCCAAGCAGAAACATATAAATAATAAAAAAAGGTTTAAAAGTTTATTTAAAAAATGTAATGATATAATATAGTATTGTCATTGTTATGACATAAGTATACCAAGTTTGCAGTCGATACCACATTGGGAAGTGGGTTAAAATTAAGTTACAAGATTTGAGGATACGACAACAACAACAGTGAGTTAAAGAGAGGATCCAACTGCATTGGGTTTATGTTTTCAGCCAATGAACGATGAATATGTTGAACTTCTTTCACGCCGTACGTAGCCAACTCTGCTAATCGATGGAGGTCGTCCTGGTTTGAGCGTCCCAGACAAATGTGGCACGACCTTGCAGGCCGTGCGTCTCATTGAAGAAGGTGTTCATCTTCTTGGTTCTTTCGGTAAAGTCACGTAGAATGGAAATAATAAAATAAATATCACGACGTTTCGGCCACAACGCAAGCAGCCGTCCTCAGGTGGAGACTCTGTCTTCTCGACAGACCTGTTCTCCACCTGAGGACGGCTGCTTGCGTTGTGGCCGAAACGTCGTGAGAATTATTTTATTATGTTTTAATTTTTATTATTTTATTATTTCCATTCTACGTGACTTTACCGAAAGAACCAAGAAGATGAATCCCTGCAGTCACGAACGCTTTAAATTGAAGGTGTGTCACGTGTATACAGCAAATAGACCATCTATTGATTTGCGACGTTTCGGACAAATGCCTCTTCTTCACGTGCTCGCTGACGAAGGGCCATCGCCCGAAACGTTACGCGTCCCCGTGGCTCCGTGCGTCCCGCGCCCGCCTTGCAACCAATCAAAAAAGCCAGGCGGAGTGACGTGTCAACAACGCGTGACGTCACAATAACGCGTGACGTATCAACAACGCGTGACGTGTCAACAACGCGTGACGTCACAACAACGCGTGACGTATCATCAACGCGTGACGTTCCAACAACGCGTGACGTATCAACAACGCGTGACGTGTCAACAACGCGTGACGTCACAATAACGCGTGACGTATCATCAACGCGTGACGTATCAACAACGCGTGACGTATCAACAACGCGTGACGTGTCAACAACGCGTGACGTATCAACAACGCGTGACGTATCAACAACGCGTGACGTTCCAACAACGCGTGACGTATCAACAACGCGTGACGTTTCAACAACGCGTGACGTATCATCAACGCGTGACGTTTCAACAACGCGTGACGTTTCAACAACGCGTGACGTTTCAACAACGCGTGACGTATCAACAACGCGTGACGTTTCAACAACGCGTGACGTGTCAACAACGCGTGACGTTTCAACAACGCGTGACGTTTCAACAACGCGTGACTTTCAACCGCGTGACGTATCATCAACGCGTGACGTGTCAACAACGCGTGACGTGTCAACAACGCGTGACGTGTCAACAACGCGTGACGTGTCAACAACGCGTGACGTTTCAACAACGCGTGACGTATCAACAACGCGTGACGTTTCAACAACGCGTGACGTGTCAACAACGCGTGACGTTTCAACAACGCGTGACGTTTCAACAACGCGTGACGTTTCAACAACGCGTGACGTATCATCAACGCGTGACGTGTCAACAACGCGTGACGTGTCAACAACGCGTGACGTGTCAACAACGCGTGACGTGTCAACAACGCGTGACGTTTCAACAACGCGTGACGTATCATCAACGCGTGACGTGTCAACAACGCGTGACGTTTCAACAACGCGTGACGTTTCAACAACGCGTGACGTGTCATCAACGCGTGACGTGTCAACAACGCGTGACGTATCAACAACGCGTGACGTATCATCAACGCGTGACGTGTCAACAACGCGTGACGTGTCATCAACGCGTGACGTTCCAACAACGCGTGACGTTCCAACAACGCGTGACGTATCAACAACGCGTGACGTATCATCAACGCGTGACGTGTCAACAACGCGTGACGTGTCAACAACGCGTGACGTGTCAACAACGCGTGACGTATCAACAACGCGTGACGTATCATCAACGCGTGACGTGTCATCAACGCGTGACGTGTCAACAACGCGTGACGTATCAACAACGCGTGACGTATCATCAACGCGTGACGTGTCATCAACGCGTGACGTGTCATCAACGCGTGACGTTCCAACAACGCGTGACGTATCATCAACGCGTGACGTTCCAACAACGCGTGACGTATCATCAACGCGTGACGTATCAACAACGCGTGACGTGTCATCAACGCGTGACGTGTCAACAACGCGTGACGTATCAACAACGCGTGACGTTTCAACAACGCGTGACGTATCATCAACGCGTGACGTGTCAACAACGCGTGACGTATCAACAACGCGTGACGTGTCAACAACGCGTGACGTATCAACAACGCGTGACGTTCCATCAACGCGTGACGTGTCAACAACGCGTGACGTTTCAACAACGCGTGACGTTCCATCAACGCGTGACGTATCATCAACGCGTGACGTGTCAACAACGCGTGACGTGTCAACAACGCGTGACGTGTCAACAACGCGTGACGTGTCAACAACGCGTAACGTGTCAACAACGCGTGACGTTTCAACAACGCGTGACGTGTCAACAACGCGTGACGTGTCAACAACGCGTGACGTTTCAACAACGCGTGACGTTTCAACAACGCGTGACGTGTCAACAACGCGTGACGTGTCAACAACGCGTGACGTTTCAACAACGCGTGACGTTTCAACAACGCGTGACGTATCATCAACGCGTGACGTGTCAACAACGCGTGACGTATCAACAACGCGTGACGTGTCAACAACGCGTGACGTATCAACAACGCGTGACGTTCCAACAACGCGTGACGTGTCATCAACGCGTGACGTGTCAACAACGCGTGACGTGTCAACAACGCGTGACGTTCCAACAACGCGTGACGTTCCAACAACGCGTGACGTGTCAACAACGCGTGACGTGTCAACAACGCGTGACGTTCCAACAACGCGTGACGTGTCATCAACGCGTGACGTGTCAACAACGCGTGACGTGTCAACAACGCGTGACGTTTCAACAACGCGTGACGTTCCAACAACGCGTGACGTTTCAACAACGCGTGACGTATCAACAACGCGTGACGTTTCAACAACGCGTGACGTTTCAACAACGCGTGACGTTTCAACAACGCGTGACGTTCCAACAACGCGTGACGTTCCAACAACGCGTGACGTGTCATCAACGCGTGACGTTTCAACAACGCGTGACGTGTCAACAACGCGTGACGTTCCAACAACGCGTGACGTTCCAACAACGCGTGACGTTTCAACAACGCGTGACGTTCCAACAACGCGTGACGTTCCAACAACGCGTGACGTTTCAACAACGCGTGACGTGTCAACAACGCGTGACGTTCCAACAACGCGTGACGTTCCAACAACGCGTGACGTTCCAACAACGCGTGACGTTCCAACAACGCGTGACGTTCCAACAACGCGTGACGTTCCAACAACGCGTGACGTTCCAACAACGCGTGACGTTTCAACAACGCGTGACGTGTCAACAACGCGTGACGTTCCAACAACGCGTGACGTTCCAACAACGCGTGACGTTCCAACAACGCGTGACGTTTCAACAACGCGTGACGTTCCAACAACGCGTGACGTTCCAACAACGCGTGACGTTCCAACAACGCGTGACGTTCCAACAACGCGTGACGTTTCAACAACGCGTGACGTTCCAACAACGCGTGACGTTCCAACAACGCGTGACGTTCCAACAACGCGTGACGTTTCAACAACGCGTGACGTTCCAACAACGCGTGACGTATCAACAACGCGTGACGTTCCAAACAACGCGTGACGTTCCAACAACGCGTGACGTTTCAACAACGCGTGACGTATCAACAACGCGTGACGTATCATCAACGCGTGACGTTTCAACAACGCGTGACGTATCAACAACGCGTGACGTATCAACAACGCGTGACGTTCCAACAACGCGTGACGTTTCAACAACGCGTGACGTATCATCAACGCGTGACGTTCCAACAACGCGTGACGTTCCAACAACGCGTGACGTGTCAACAACGCGTGACGTTCCAACAACGCGTGACGTGTCAACAACGCGTGACGTTCCAACAACGCGTGACGTTCCAACAACGCGTGACGTTCCAACAACGCGTGACGTGTCAACAACGCGTGACGTTCCAACAACGCGTGACGTATCATCAACGCGTGACGTGTCAACAACGCGTGACGTTCCAACAACGCGTGACGTTCCAACAACGCGTGACGTGTCAACAACGCGTGACGTGTCAACAACGCGTGACGTGTCAACAACGCGTGACGTGTCAACAACGCGTGACGTTCCAACAACGCGTGACGTTCCAACAACGCGTGACGTTCCAACAACGCGTGACGTTCCAACAACGCGTGACGTTCCAACAACGCGTGACGTGTCAACAACGCGTGACGTGTCAACAACGCGTGACGTGTCAACAACGCGTGACGTTCCAACAACGCGTGACGTGTCAACAACGCGTGACGTGTCAACAACGCGTGACGTGTCAACAACGCGTGACGTTCCAACAACGCGTGACGTGTCAACAACGCGTGACGTGTCAACAACGCGTGACGTTCCAACAACGCGTGACGTGTCAACAACGCGTGACGTGTCAACAAACGCGTGACGTGTCAACAACGCGTGACGTGTCAACAACGCGTGACGTGTCCAACAACGCGTGACGTGTCAACAACGCGTGACGTGTCAACAACGCGTGACGTGTCAACAACGCGTGACGTGTCAACAACGCGTGACGTGTCAACAACGCGTGACGTGTCAACAACGCGTGACGTGTCAACAACGCGTGACGTGCCAACAACGCGTGACGTGTCAACAACGCGTGACGTGTCAACAACGCGTGACGTTCCAACAACGCGTGACGTGTCAACAACGCGTGACGTTCCAACAACGCGTGACGTTCCAACAACGCGTGACGTGTCATCAACGCGTGACGTGTCAACAACGCGTGACGTTCCAACAACGCGTGACGTGTCAACAACGCGTGACGTTCCAACAACGCGTGACGTGTCAACAACGCGTGACGTGTCAACAACGCGTGACGTTCCAACAACGCGTGACGTGTCAACAACGCGTGACGTGTCAACAACGCGTGACGTTCCAACAACGCGTGACGTTCCAACAACGCGTGACGTGTCATCAACGCGTGACGTTCCAACAACGCGTGACGTGTCAACAACGCGTGACGTGTCAACAACGCGTGACGTGTCAACAACGCGTGACGTTCCAACAACGCGTGACGTTCCAACAACGCGTGACGTTCCAACAACGCGTGACGTGTCAACAACGCGTGACGTTTCAACAACGCGTGACGTTCCAACAACGCGTGACGTGTCAACAACGCGTGACGTTCCAACAACGCGTGACGTGTCAACAACGCGTGACGTGTCAACAACGCGTGACGTGTCAACAACGCGTGACGTGTCAACAACGCGTGACGTTCCAACAACGCGTGACGTTCCAACAACGCGTGACGTGTCAACAACGCGTGACGTGTCAACAACGCGTGACGTTCCAACAACGCGTGACGTGTCAACAACGCGTGACGTTTCAACAACGCGTGACGTATCAACAACGCGTGACGTTCCAACAACGCGTGACGTTTCAACAACGCGTGACGTTTCAACAACGCGTGACGTATCAACAACGCGTGACGTGTCAACAACGCGTGACGTTTCAACAACGCGTGACGTATCAACAACGCGTGACGTTCCAACAACGCGTGACGTTTCAACAACGCGTGACGTTTCAACAACGCGTGACGTGTCAACAACGCGTGACGTTTCAACAACGCGTGACGTGTCAACAACGCGTGACGTTTCAACAACGCGTGACGTGTCAACAACGCGTGACGTATCAACAACGCGTGACGTTCCAACAACGCGTGACGTTCCAACAACGCGTGACGTGTCAACAACGCGTGACGTTTCAACAACGCGTGACGTGTCAACAACGCGTGACGTTCCAACAACGCGTGACGTGTCAACAACGCGTGACGTTCCAACACGCGTGACGTGTCAACAACGCGTGACGTTTCAACAACGCGTGACGTTCCAACAACGCGTGACGTGTCAACAACGCGTGACGTTTCAACAACGCGTGACGTGTCAACAACGCGTGACGTGTCAACAACGCGTGACGTTTCAACAACGCGTGACGTGTCAACAACGCGTGACGTTCCAACAACGCGTGACGTGTCAACAACGCGTGACGTGTCAACAACGCGTGACGTTCCAACAACGCGTGACGTGTCAACAACGCGTGACGTTCCAACAACGCGTGACGTGTCAACAACGCGTGACGTTTCATCAACGCGTGACGTGTCAACAACGCGTGACGTTCCAACAACGCGTGACGTGTCAACAACGCGTGACGTTCCAACAACGCGTGACGTGTCAACAACGCGTGACGTGTCAACAACGCGTGACGTTCCAACAACGCGTGACGTATCAACAACGCGTGACGTTCCAACAACGCGTGACGTGTCAACAACGCGTGACGTTCCAACAACGCGTGACGTGTCAACAACGCGTGACGTGTCAACAACGCGTGACGTTCCAACAACGCGTGACGTGTCAACAACGCGTGACGTGTCAACAACGCGTGACGTTCCAACAACGCGTGACGTTTCAACAACGCGTGACGTGTCAACAACGCGTGACGTTCCAACAACGCGTGACGTGTCAACAACGCGTGACGTTTCATCAACGCGTGACGTTCCAACAACGCGTGACGTGTCAACAACGCGTGACGTTCCAACAACGCGTGACGTGTCAACAACGCGTGACGTTTCATCAACGCGTGACGTTCCAACAACGCGTGACGTGTCAACAACGCGTGACGTTCCAACAACGCGTGACGTTCCAACAACGCGTGACGTTCCAACAACGCGTGACGTGTCAACAACGCGTGACGTTTCATCAACGCGTGACGTTCCAACAACGCGTGACGTGTCAACAACGCGTGACGTTCCAACAACGCGTGACGTTCCAACAACGCGTGACGTGTCAACAACGCGTGACGTTTCATCAACGCGTGACGTTCCAACAACGCGTGACGTTCCAACAACGCGTGACGTGTCAACAACGCGTGACGTTTCATCAACGCGTGACGTGTCAACAACGCGTGACGTTCCAACAACGCGTGACGTATCAACAACGCGTGACGTTTCAACAACGCGTGACGTGTCAACAACGCGTGACGTATCATCAACGCGTGACGTTCCAACAACGCGTGACGTGTCAACAACGCGTGACGTTTCAACAACGCGTGACGTTTCAACAACGCGTGACGTGTCAACAACGCGTGACGTATCATCAACGCGTGACGTTTCAACAACGCGTGACGTGTCAACAACGCGTGACGTATCATCAACGCGTGACGTTCCAACAACGCGTGACGTGTCAACAACGCGTGACGTTTCAACAACGCGTGACGTTTCAACAACGCGTGACGTATCAACAACGCGTGACGTTCCAACAACGCGTGACGTATCAACAACGCGTGACGTTTCAACAACGCGTGACGTGTCAACAACGCGTGACGTGTCAACAACGCGTGACGTTTCAACAACGCGTGACGTTTCAACAACGCGTGACGTATCAACAACGCGTGACGTATCAACAACGCGTGACGTATCAACAACGCGTGACGTATCAACAACGCGTGACGTTTCAACAACGCGTGACGTATCATCAAGCGTGACGTTTCAACAACGCGTGACGTATCAACAACGCGTGACGTTTCAACAACGCGTGACGTTTCAACAACGCGTGACGTTCCAACAACGCGTGACGTATCATCAACGCGTGACGTTTCAACAACGCGTGACGTATCAACAACGCGTGACGTTTCAACAACGCGTGACGTATCATCAACGCGTGACGTATCAACAACGCGTGACGTTCCAACAACGCGTGACGTATCAACAACGCGTGACGTTTCAACAACGCGTGACGTATCAACAACGCGTGACGTTTCAACAACGCGTGACGTTTCAACAACGCGTGACGTTTCAACACGCGTGACGTTCCAACAACGCGTGACGTATCAACAACGCGTGACGTTTCAACAACGCGTGACGTTTCAACAACGCGTGACGTTTCAACAACGCGTGACGTTTCAACAACGCGTGACGTTTCAACAACGCGTGACGTTCCAACAACGCGTGACGTATCAACAACGCGTGACGTTTCAACAACGCGTGACGTTTCAACAACGCGTGACGTTTCAACAACGCGTGACGTTCCAACAACGCGTGACGTATCAACAACGCGTGACGTATCAACAACGCGTGACGTTTCAACAACGCGTGACGTTCCAACAACGCGTGACGTATCAACAACGCGTGACGTTCCAACAACGCGTGACGTATCAACAACGCGTGACGTGTCAACAACGCGTGACGTTTCAACAACGCGTGACGTTTCAACAACGCGTGACGTTTCAACAACGCGTGACGTGTCAACAACGCGTGACGTATCAACAACGCGTGACGTTTCAACAACGCGTGACGTGTCAACAACGCGTGACGTTTCAACAACGCGTGACGTTCCAACAACGCGTGACGTATCAACAACGCGTGACGTTCCAACAACGCGTGACGTTTCAACAACGCGTGACGTTTCAACAACGCGTGACGTTTCAACAACGCGTGACGTTTCAACAACGCGTGACGTGTCAACAACGCGTGACGTATCAACAACGCGTGACGTTCCAACAACGCGTGACGTATCAACAACGCGTGACGTCACAATAACGCGTGACGTGTCATCAACGCGTGACGTGTCATCAACGCGTGACGTATCATCAACGCGTGACGTATCATCAACGCGTGACGTATCATCAACGCGTGACGTATCATCAACGCGTGACGTCACGACGCACGTGCCCCTGCGCGTTGCGTGATGTCGTAACCGCGGGGGAAACATCGGCGGCGTCACCACAATGGCGGAAAGCGACGCCCAGGGCGATTGGTAAACATGGCGGTGCGCGGGGAGTGTTGGTCACTTTGTGGGGAGCTCGGCGCGGACGTCGCCGCCTCAAGACGCGCGACGAACGACGCCGGGGGCCGACTTTGAAAGCATTTTTAACCAAGTGACGGCCTCGTTTCAACTTTACAATTTCCACGTCGCTTAAGGAATTCCTCGGCTCGGCAGCATCTTCGCTATTGGCCGGACTCCGTCACGTGTCTGTCGCGGACCAATGGCGTGTCGCCCTCAGCCGCGACTGCTTGGCGCTCAGCCAATCGTCGCGCTCGTACCTTTGAGTCCGCTTAAGCGGACTATGAAATGTGACAGTTATTTTAATTCAAAAATACGCGTTTTTAATTGCACAGAGAGAAAAAAAGTTCTAATGCCTATTGTACCATTTTGCTTGCCAGCGTGTGCATCGTATAATCGCACTGGACATGCTAATTTGTTTTTTGGGATTCTGCGCGGATGGTGCGACCCACCCCTTGCGGCCTATGCGGCGCTACCGGCGGAGGCGAGGGGAGCTCGGCGGGGAGATTAGGCCAGAGCGGGGTAGCCCCGGGGGATACGTCCATTGAACATTGTGTTGACACGGAGATAAGGTTCTGGGAGTCTTATCATCACATCATCATCTCGACATATCATCATTAGCATCTCATCAGCCAGTGCGTTTCGTTATCGTTTAAATCCTTGAATGATTATATCTTGTTATATACATTTTCCATCATCATTCCATCATGGTATCATGTAAAAATCGGCTAATCTTCAGCATTTTGTTTTCATTACGTCGTAATAATATTCTCACTCGGGTCGATAAAGTATTCTGTGATGACAGTGCAACTGTTTAGGCTGGCAACACACAGGTTTATACTTCAATTGCTTCCCGGAAATGTACCGATCGCGCTGTCGTCAGCTGTAAAGTTCACGTCGAAGACGACGCGACACGCAAAGCCGGACACTCCGTGCGAGTTCGTGTCAAGATTCACATCTAGAACATCAGACGACACACAGTGCTGCTTGTGCCTGCCAGTGTGGTTAGGCACTACTCCCACCTTGCAAGACTTGCGAGTACAACGTTTGAGTCCGCGAGCTTTGCTTTATGCGACACGTGTGCATCGTTGCACATATATATCTCCCGTATTGATTTGCATGATAGACAGTTGAACACATTTTTGAATGAAGTTGAGGGACGTACGCATTGTAAGGTGCCTCGAAGTGGCACATTAACAAAAGGAATAACTCCCCAAGTAGGAATTTAACATCAGAGTTGTGTTGCCTCCGAAACGTCGTGATTTAGAATTTTATTTTTATTTTATTTAAATGTTTTCATTTTATTTATTTTTACCTACGTGACTTTACCGAAAAAACCAAAGAGTATGAATCCTTGCAGTCACGAAAGTTTCAAATCTAGAAGGAATTAAACATTTTCATCATAGCGTAGCCCAACGGGTGTTTGAAAAGGAAAACGATGCATTTTTAAAACATGATTCTAACTCTTCTTGGTTCTTTCGGTAAAGTCACGTAGAAGGGAAGTAATAAAATAATACAAATAAAACATAATAAAATAATTCTCACGACGTTTCGGCCACAACGCAAGCAGCCGTCCTCAGGTGAAGAATGAAACACCACCATCATTCTTCACCTGAGGACGGCTGCTTGCGTTGTGGCCGAAACGTCGTGAGAATTATTTTATTATGTTTTATTTTTATTATTTTATTACTTCCCTTCTACGTGACTTTACCGAAAGAACCAAGAAGATGAATCCCTGCAGTCACGAAAGCTTTAAATCGAAATTTAACTGATTCTTACTGCTATACCAAGGCAAACTTAAGTTTTCAGGGTGCTCCAAGTTAAACAATGTTATCCTCTTACCTATATAGAGTTCTGTTGGGTCCAAAGTAGTTATAGGTGTGTCCATATTAACAAACCAAGCACTGCACATGGACACACTTTGAGGTTTTCAGTGTGCTTACAGCAAATTGTTTCTTGTAGTTTGCATAGTGGTTTATACGATTATGTTGAGTATTTGATTTACTGGTTTTATGCTTGATGGTCATGCGCATGGTTCTACAGAACGTCTCATTATGTTCAAATTTAAACAAGTTGTAGAAAATTGTGCAAACATGATGATCTAATTCATAGCATAACATTTCTATGGTGGTTTGTGGTGGTAAAATTAGGTGTAGCTTTCAATGTATTTTGCGGTGAGTTATTTATGTCACGTTAATATTTATCACACAAATACCAGGCTAATAATGAAAGGCCCCCAATGAAAGTTTTTTTTTAGAAAGCACTTTGTGACCGTTCTTGCAGAACTGTCTGATATGAATGAATATGGGCGCTGCGGTGGTGAGATGTTAACTACCTCGCCAGGTATACAGGAGGTCGTGGGTTCGATCCCGACCCTGACAGTGCCTGTATATTTGGAATTTGTTCTCTCCCCGTGGTCGCGTGGATTTTTCCCAGGGTACTCCGGCTTGTCCCTCCAAATTTAGAATCAACATGCGTTTAGAGTATTTGGCTGCTATACATTTCCACGTGATAAGCCACTTTGTTGGACTATCATTTGTGGCCAGGTCGCTTCCGAAAGAAAGAGCTATATAGCTCTGTGGGTTTTACCTGGTAAAATAAAAATAGTAACAAAAATGAACGCTTTATGGAGTGGTGCAATGTTGTGCTTTAGGTTGACGGAGCTCGAGGACTTGCTCTCGGGTGGAGCAGGTGTGGATGTGGAGACGTTGAAAAGCCTCCTGCACGGACACCCAGTACCCGCACATCTCCGTGCCCGTATCTGGCAGGTCTGCGTGCACTCAGTACAAACTGTTATCTGTCAAATTGAAAAAAACACATTCGCTCACTGCTGCACACAAACTGCAAATACTCATAAACCACTGCATGCACACAATGAACGGTCATATATCACAAGATAACCTTAAAGTGATGAGTGATGGTAGTGGATTGGTTTCACACAGTAAAATAACTTGCTTGATTTAGCGGGTCGGGTTTACCAAAACATATCCAAATGAATGTTTTGCCCACTGAACTATTTTATGAATCCTTATATGTATGGGTCATAATTACATATGACATGGTCTCCTCTGTGTGATGTGTATACACAGGCATGCCTGGGTGTGCGTGGACCGGCAGATGCACTGGCCTCGTGGGATGGGGTATATGATCTGCCTGAGCAGGAGACCCTTCATGCCGACTGTGAGAGACTTATTGGTGAGAATCTGACCATTCACTTTCAACTTTTGCCTCTATGGCCTCACCTCCAAACTCCAGATGATCCAAAATCCCACTGACAGACACTCATGATTGACATCTGCTCATGAACAGAGTATACATATATGCCTCATGTTTTCCTTTATTGCGGTATCTTAACATGCGGTTCCATTTAGATGCTTTTTTCATTCCAAATCTTACGTTGTCATTTGTTTTCGTGTTTAGTTTTTCAACTGCATGCTGTGTGTGGTTTTGTGTGCTATATACACTTCATAAGGTAAAGTATATTGTGTTAGGTATGTGTAATGTAGTGCGTGTGGTCAGTGCAACATTGTGTTGTTGGAGGGTATATCTGTGTGTGTGTGGTTATTCTAATGCTGTGTGTGGTTTTGTACCACTTTGTGTATCAGTGTGTGTAATGTGGTGTGAATGTGTTTGATTAGTTTATTGGTGTGTGCGTTTAGTGCAATGTTGTATGTGAGTTGGTGGCGAGTTTCGTTCTGTGTGTGCGTGTGGTACGTGGAACACTGTATGGCATTAGTGAGTGTAACTTGATGTGGATGTGTTTGGCCGGTGTGTGTGTTGTGTGTCCACGCAGCCTCGTTACCCGACGAACAGGACAAGGGCTCGCTCTTGAGCCTGGCAGAGGATGTGCTCACGTTCTGCGTCAAGTCGCGCGGTGTGCGCTACGAGGCGGGATCCGGTCTCGTGCACCTCCTTGGGCCGCTGCTCACACTCAACATGACGCGTGCGCACACATACGGCTGCCTGTATGCGCTGCACACGAAGTACACCCCCAGGTAAGCTGCACACCGCTTACACGCACACTCAGGTGGGTCCCATGTGGGCATCTTCGGGAGTTGAATTGAAGATGCCCAGAGTAGCAGCAGCCCATCGTGAAAGCTTTACAGAAGAAATGTGAGCCCTATAAGAAAACATCACAAATTACTTCTGTAGTTACTTTCATAGCATTCATTTTCCACGCATTTTACTGGCCCTGCAGAAACTTTTAATTTGAATGGAAATAAAATGACGCTATTTAATAATTAGAGTTGTAATAAGCGAAATTAAACTAAAAATATGGCGGTTTTTTTGTGCAGTCACTGGTGATGAGACTGAGAACATCAAATCACTATACTTGAGATCCCAGTTTAATCATGGGTTCAAATTTAGTTATGGGCGGCTGGCCACCCACAATCAAACCCAAGGTCTCTGTGGTGCCAGCTTGGTGAACTGGCATCGTATAAGTCCCCTCAAGCACCTGGTCATTTACCAACAATCTGCTTCTGATTAATGGGTGTATCATTTCGTGTACACTGACCATGAACATGTTGTGTGATGTCCAGGGATGGCCTACAGGCTGTGCACGCACTGCGGTTGCTGCTCCAGTACCATGAGCCACGGCTCTGCTCCTTTCTGGAGACAAAGAAGATTTCACCCGATGCCTTCGCACGCACATGGGTGCGTGCGTGCACGTGCATCGCGTTAACACAAACCGCTTGCTCGCACGCAAACAGAAAACATCTCGCTCACCGAAAAACAATTGCATACTTTTAAACATACACACAGCCTACGTAAATAAAGATTCCTGTATATTCATAATAGACATTAACTTCAAAAAGGCATCTGTGTGCATCTGTTTGTGTTTCTTTTGTTGGGCTTGGTATATTTTACATGTGTATAAATCTATTCTAGTGAAGTATGTAGATGCATTCTTTTTAATCAGTGTGTGTGGCAGTATGCGTTTCTATTTGTGGGAGCGGTAGTGTAGCGGTTAGCGCGCTGCGCTACAAACCTGGCGACCTGCGTTCGTTTCACGCTCACGGCCAACACCAATGAAGATTATCTGAACTGGTCCTAGGCCTCCCCTAGGTCGACTCAGCCTCAGTTGAGTACCTGGTGCGATGTGTAAACATTGCCACAAGGGGTCAAAGGCTGTCGGGCATGGTGCTGGCCATCCACCCCCTCGTGTATCTTGCCGGCCTTCATAGGTGCTCGCTAACAGCACTTGCCCCAACAGTCTGTTAAGGCTATATGGGGATCTTTGTTTCTGTTAGGGTCATATTCCTGTGTTTTACGATGTGTCATGTGTCCACGTGTGTGTGTTTGCATGCAGCTGGACAGCTTGTTTGCCAGCATCTTCACGGTGCCTGTTGCTATAACGATGTGGGACATGATCCTGCAGCTCAACGACCCCTTCCTCGTGTTCTTCCTCATTCTCGTCATTCTCGTCAATGCCAAGTACGTGCAGCGCGCACCAATCGCGGCACAATTGACACGGGAAGAGAACACGTGAGACGCAGAATTAATGTACGGTGCACATTAGCGACGACCCGTTACTCATTTCCTCTCGGTGAGTCTTGAGACTTGCTAAGAAGAATTGATAAGCGTTTCTCTCGAGTGAATGCACTAACTATACTACCAAGGATGTCTGTGACATTGTTTGCAATGATACCAAGTCCTTGAGGAATGAATGTCTGCTTTATGTCATGTGACACACACGTGGGAATTCCATGCATACTCTACCAAACAACAACTTATAGGCAACTCTGACACCCTGATTTGAATGTTGGTTTGGACTTGGGAAATATTCTTGACTCAGTGGGGTTTCAGAATCTCAGAATTTCGTGAAATTCTAGTTGGACTCTTGCATTGTGTATGCATGTATATCACGTATGTCACAACGAAGCACGTGTGTGCTTGACATGAGCCTTCATTACTTGTTACTGGTAGGAACCTCCTGGTTACACCAGCCCACAGGGGATTATTGTGTCCGTCCGTCGTGCAGGGAGGGGCTGGGTGGGGTGGGAGGGGCTGGGTGGGGAGGGGCTGGGTGGGGGGATGGGAGGGGTGGGGCTGGGTGGGGAGGGGCTGGGTGGGGAGGGTGGGGAGGGGCTGGGTGGGGAGGGGCTGGGTGGGGAGGCTGGGTGGGGGGTGGGAGAGGTGGGGAGGGGCTGGTCACCCCGTGGTGCCCTTATAAAAGTCAACGTTTAACCTACTCATACCGGCTTGTACCCGCCCTCACAGTCAGGCATATTTGCGGAATACACCACGCCGCCGTTGACCCTGGCGTGTTGAGTTGAAATTGCATTTAGCTTATTTATAAATGCAAATTAAACGTTTCAAATAATACATTTCATATGCGAGTGACGGCTTGCAGAGCGTTGTGGGTCGTCCAATGATGCTGTGTGGGTTTAGTGTGATACTGTTATAGTGTTGTGCTCATGTCAACTCTACTCAGTGTGGCATGATGGCGAGTGTAATGCTTGACGATTGTATGGGATTACGCGTGATTGTTGGCCATGCACACGCGTGGCAATTAGTGTTTGAGCTTTTGCTTAGACATTCCTTAGGGCAACTCAGCTAAGATAAGCACCTTGGCAAGAATACACGAAACAACGGCTCAAGAGTGAAAATTACCCTTAATTTGCGGTCAAAATATAAGGGGATGTGTTTTCGCGAAAGATGCTTTATGAAACCCAGCCCATGTGTGGCAGTGTGTTAACTTTAGCGTTGGGGAAAGAGACAGGAGATTTGTCCTAGACATGCCAGCCTCCTACATATTTGCTGTTTTTCGTCTTGAATAGATTATTGCGAACAGCATGTGCCTTGCCTCATGAATCTGTTCAAACTATGAGGATAATTTTTGTATGCAATAGTATGTATTTTTTAGTTCTATACAGAGCTCTAGTACAACACATACATGGGTACCTTCACTCAGTGTCAATACCAGTCAGAATTGGTACATGTATTGGTATTAGGCTTGCCACCACGCCAACGGTAGATGCTTATAGTAAGTGTTTATTTGATAGATTACAGTATGAAATAGATCAGCTGATGTGGTCGGCACTTATATGCTAATGCTGAATGGATGAATGTTGGTGACTCTAATCCAACGTGTTTTTTTTGGTATTAATAGGGACTCTGACAGCTCTGATGTCAGCAGGATAACAAGGAGATATTTGTTTTGCAGGGAGAGTGTTCTAGCTCTTCAGGATGGAAGCCGAGAAGATATTTTAGGTGAGCTTTGCACGCATATAGTTCACAAACTTAATTTATTGCCTGCAGTATTGATTCACTTTTAATCGGTGCCAGCATCTCAGGTTTTTTGAGGCTTGATGCCCTCAAAATTGAGTTCCGTGTGGTGAATGCTCACTGTTCTGAAGTTAAGTTGACGAATCCGAATATTATTCGGGAATGGTTGGCTAGCTAAGATAAATTCACGTGACACCCTTCTGCTGTGGGTGGAGAAGTGAAGCCTTCTTTATGGGATTCTCCTTTGTGTGCTTTTATACTGTGTTTATCCCATGCTGTGTATGTCTCCCTATCTTTCTTTCTGCCCACGCCCGCTGTTTCCATAATCCCTACATGCTCCCACTCCCTGTGTTGCCGTGTGGAACACTGACGTTTGTGCTTCATGCCCCACAACGTTTTCTTGTCTCCCTGCAGCACTACTCCAACAGGCTCCGTGTGGCTTGCAGGAGGATGATATTGAGGACTTCTGCTCCCTGGCTCAGTACTACATTTCACGCACACCCATCTCCTTCCGCAAGGTGCGTCTATCGGGTGGGGTGCTTTGGAGTTTGTGCGTTTGTGTACTGTGCCTCTTGCGCACTTATCCGCTGCTCCAATTTGAGTGTATAGGGCGCTGCGGTGACGGGATGTTATCTCCCTCGCCTGGTATGCAGGAAGTTATGGGTTTGATCCTGAGCCTGAGGCTTGTTTTTTTGGAGTTTGCATGTTTTTCCCGTGGTTGCGTGGATTTTTCTTCAGGTCCTCTGGTTTTTTCCCTCCATGTTTAGTAACGTATTTGGCTGCTCTAAATGTCCACATGATGAGACACTTTGTTGAGCTATCATTTGTGGCCAGGTCGCTTATGAAAAAGAGCTGTATAGCTCAGTGGTCCTTACCGCTAAGATAAAAATAAAATATGGGGGTGTGGTGTTTGTGCATCAAGGCGGTGGAATGGCCCAGCGGTGAGTTAACGTCATGTTCGTGGCGTGTTGCCCGATGCGCAGGAATTCCAGGCTGTGTTTGGTGGATCGCTGGTAGCGGTGAGGGCTGCAGTAGGAGGAGGAGCCTCGCAGACCCTGTGCCTCCCAGTGAGCGCCTCCGAAATCCTCAACTCCAGCGCGCACACCAATGGGGTAATGCGCGGCACATCAAGAGGACCGCGTAGGCCGGGGTTCGGTAACCTGCACCATCTCGTATTCAAATGCATTGCGGCTTTTTAAATTTTGAGGTTTTTTTTTAACCGAATTCGAAATAAATGTCTCTTCTTGTTATTTTGGTTTCCAACCCCTGGCCTAGGCACTGCACACTTATTTTCACCACTGGAGTTCCCATACACAAACATCACCGTGGGCAACTCGCTCTCAGCCAGTGGTTAAAAATTTCACAACACAATGTGATCATCACCTGCACAAAACTTCATCATCATCAGCTACGATCAATCCACTGGTGGATGAAGGCCTTCCCCAGCTGTTGTCATCTCACCATCTTGCGATACAAAGATTCATCTCGCAACTGTGTACCAGCTGATTTCATCGGCCCATCTCCACGTTGGACGTCCTTTTGAGCATGTTCCTACTTTTGCCTGCCACTCCGCCCTTAGTCTCGACCACCATCCATCCTCTCTTCTCGTGACGTGTCCCGTCCCCTTGCTCATTTACTCTCTTAGCTGTCAATATGATGTCTCTAACATGCGTCGGTACAGTACATGGTGTGCTGCATGTAGTATGCGGTGTGCTACGCCATGCGTGAGTGTGGTCGGTGTTTGGTGACGGTACAAGCGGTGTTTCGGTGTGTCATTGCAGGAGGGTGTACGGTTCTTTGTGGTTGACTGCCGACCTGCTGAGCAGTATAATGCAGCACACTTGTCCACCGCCTTCCACCTCGACCCACACTTGGTGGGTACATCGGATCGCGCAGTCGATGTCTTAATGGCTGTGCAGTGTGTGGGTTTTTACGGATATACATCACTAGTGTAATGATGCTGTAACCAGGCCAGGTGGCGCTGTGGGACAGGATGTAATTCACAATTAACGAGTTGTTGGGTTAAATCCCAGATGATTTTGATGAAGCTGGTTCCACTTTGAATCCAACATTAGGTTGTCCGATTGAGAGACTACTGTCAACAATGGGAATATCGAATTTCCACCACTGGCTCTGAACTGCCAATAACTATTGTCTGATTGGTTTATGCATGTTTGTCACCCATCCAAGCTCGATTCAAGCTCATCCCTGCTTCGCTTCCAAGATCTGATGAGATCGTACACATTCTGGGCGATTTGGTCATAGGCAGTGGCGGTTAGTGTTGGCCTAATGCTCGCTAAGTCTCTGGCGCGACTGCGCGTGACATCGTCTAACGCCAGCCTGGTGGGACGTCACGGCGTGTGACGGGGCGCAGATGCTGCAGAACCCGTCCGAATTCGCCGTGTCCGTGCGGGCGCTGCTGGAGGCCCAGGCGGTCGCCATGGCAACAGGCTCGGTCGCTGGGGGCGAGCACTTGTGTTTCATGGGGTCCGGTAACCATGGAGACGACGACGAGATGTACCTGCACATGGTGCTTGCTCACTTCCTCCAGGTGAGTCCACGAGTGTTGGAGGTGTTGTGTGTGTGTGTGATGTTTTTGGTGTGGTTGAGTGTGTGCTTTGGGGTGTTGAGTATTGTAAGTGTGTGTAGCTTGGAGTGTCGTGCAGTGTCTTTCAACTTGAGTGGTGCATATTGTGGTTGTGTACAAAGGTTGAGGCGTAACGATTCGTCCCATGTGCGCGTCAATAAATTGCCACGATTTGATTATTTTTCTAAATTATTGTGGTGGAAATAACAGCTGTAAGCTGTCATATTGTGAACCCCTTATGTAAAACATGCGGATATAAAAATATTGATTCTTACAAACATGAGGAGATGCTTCATCACTTAAGAATCGGTATTAATCGATGCATCATTATAGCTCTCGTAAATGGGCAGAGTGTGTGGTTTGGCATATTTTTTTTGGTGTGGGATATTATGTTTCGGGTGGTGTATGCGCTGCATGTATATGGGTTACGGCTTGTGGTTCAGAGTGGTGTGCGTGGGTGTTGGTTATAGGGTGGTATGACGTGGCTTTCTATGAATGGTATTTGCCACGGTGTAAAATGTATTGTGTACATTATGGAATGTGTGGTTTTTGTCGTATTGTGTATAGTGCGAAGCATGCGTGCGTGTGAGTTTCTGAGTTGTGCGTGTGTTAGGTGTACAAAGTGGTATGCGGGGGCATGTACGGGGCAGTAAGGTGGTATGTTTGGTGATGTATGTGGTATGTGGTGTTGTTTGGTTCGAGGTGTTGAGTTGGGTGGTGAGTACAGTGTGGTGTACGGTGTGTTTTTTGTGAGTGGTTTGTATGAATTAGAAGGCTGGAGTTGGTGTATATGGGGATTTCTTGGTGTAATACGGTTTGGTGTTTACGTTTTTGGTGTCGTGTGTATAATTTGTGGTTTGGCGTCTTGTGCGTTACATGGTATTGTCTGTGTTGTGTAAGATGTGGGGGCGTCGCGTGTGTGTTTTAGAGTGGTGCGCGGGGTCACGGTGTGCGGTTAACGTGTGCGGTAGTGTTTATAGAGGAACGTGTGAGGCAGGAGTTTGAATGTATTTTGCCGTCTGCTTTTTATCTTGTTGCAGAAACACAAGGAGTATGTCAGCATAGCACGTGGAGGATTCAGGGGTGAGCTCACGCAAATATCGACCTGCAGCACCTCAAAAATAGAGAGCGCAAATAAGCACGCCAAACTAAACTCACAACATGAAATACAGGGGCATCTTACATATACGACATGTCTTGTACATCATTTATTTACATTGCACCACGGAATATACCACACAGTGCCAAGTAAAGATACTTTGCGTGATCAAGGCTGAAGGATTCGTCCGTTTTGCACACGGTTGGGATTTTGATTTAAAGCTGTTGTGAAATGTGATTGAGCAAAACAACTTAAATTAAGAAAAATATTCTGCTCTTTTTTGGTTTCATTCTGGCAAATATACTTTTGGGCTAAGTTGTTTCTAGCAGACTAAAATATATATTAACTTGATATACATAATTTAATAATCTAACATTATTTCCTGTTGACTTTGGTTTTTGCATGATACATGGTGGTGTGATTTTGGTTTGTGAAGTGGCGTTCACTGTGTGGATTGGTTTGGTGTGGTCCGTGAGATGCGTGATTTTGGTTGCCCATGCAAAAGAGTCGGTGTTGCTTCACGCCCCTGAACTGATGAGTTGCATTTCCTGTGTAATTACGGGGATACTCACTGTGGCTTGCTGTGTACGGTGACGCGTACACGATGTGCAGCCGTGCAGCAGTATCTGGCGGACGTGCAGGTGGATGCGGATGAGAACCCCTACCAGGAGTGGATAACCAGCACGGGGCCTTCCAACCAGCATCTCTCCACGGTGCACACCTCGCTACACTGCAGCACCTTACAGGGCACTAGAGGACATGACAGGGCACTACAGGGCTTTGCAGTGCACTAGACGGCACTACATCACACTACAGGATACTACAGGGAACTACAGGGAACTACAGGGCACCAGATGTGTGGGCGAAACAGGCTTATCAGTATCCACAGATCCCACCGGTCCTTCCGGCCAACCAGGGGGTGACCTGGGGTGGCTGGAGGAACATGCCGAGTCAACTGCACCTGGGAAACAAGGAGGAAGTGTTTGGAGAGTAGGCCTCATGTTGAACATTGTGTGCGTGTCTTTTTTTAACCCTGTCCTCGCTCCTGTTTTTAGTGAGTTGTTTCCAAGTCCCTGTGCTTTTCGCAGTGTCCACATGCTGTACATCCGCTGTTCTAACTGTGCTACTCACATACCTTGTCTCTCATCGGCATGCTCCTGTTTGTTGTTGTTGTTGCAAACTCTTGTGTCGTACTCTGTCCTCATTCTTTTTTTTGTTCCACATCCCTTCATCCCTTTTGTTGTATCCTATGCGCCCGCTGCCCTTGCCTCCGTGTTCTCTTGCACGCCCCGCTCCGACTCCTTGTCTAACCAGGATGCAGGAGAGGCACCAGGGGTTTTGTCTCTGGTCACAAAGATGACGTCGGCGCTGCGCAGCAAGTCAGCCCAGGTGAGGGAGCGCGTCGTGGGTCTCATGGAGAACTCCGGCTCCCCGGGGGACAGGTGGGACACGGGGCACGGGACACGGGGGGAGGGGGGGTAGACAAATACAGGGGACGTGGCGGGGACATTGAGGCACCATGGGCTACGTGGCACAAGGCATGATAGGGTTTTTGGGAAATGCAGATTATGGTGGGTCTTAGCTATTTTGCGATATACTAGGTAGCAAGTGAGATGTGGGAGGCAGGTGTTCAGGAGGACAGGTGGACAACAAGGATCTTGGGTGTAAGGGTCATATGTCATCAGAACATCCGAAAGGTTACTCACGATAGGGGGCCATTCGGCTAATCTAGCTCGTTAAGCCAGGAAACCACAAACAAGCTGGAAGGCAGCCCGCAAGCCAGAAACTGGTGCCAACTGGCGGACAAGTGAGCACAGGCCATGGAAAGAAGTGGGCAGAGATCGATAAATTGGAATATAGTGGGGATATGGAATACAGTGGACATGGGGTATAAGAAACCCCGAGTTTGGTGGTGACATGGACAGGTTGGGTGGGCATGGGAAACTCGAAGCATCGAATACAGGGCAGCTTGGGCATAGACAACACCGAGCAAAGAGAGATAGCCACTCGGATGTGGGAAACAGGTGGCGCAAATGCAGCACGAGACAGTGCGGACATGAGGACAGTTGGGGTTTGATGCACGGCCACAGGTGAACACAGACCAGTGGGGAGTTAGAATACAAGTACAGGTCATCTGACCTTCCTCTAAAAGATACGATGTGGCCATGGGCTTCCAACTAGTTTTAACAATAACAAGATGTCGTGCGCTTATTGTTTGTGTTGCAATGTGTTGGTGTGGTGTATTGGTGGTGGGATGCTGCTTTGGTGATATAATGTGCCAATGCGGAGATGGTGGTTTTGGTGTAGTTTGCTGGTGTGGTATGGTTATCTTGCCCTATTGTTGGTCGTGCGTGATGATGCAGGCCAGGGTATGGCCGGCCGTACCGTGGAGTCAAACCCGTGTTCAGCATCGCCGACGAGGAGGAGTGTGAGAGTGGTACGTGGTGAACGCAGCTTGCCATGCGTGGCACACGGGACAACGTCAAGCTGGGATTGGGGTTCCCTTACAGTCCTATTTCTGTTGAGTCGTACTGTGGCAAAATAGTCAAATCGCAATCCTCAGCATATCTCTGGCACTTGGCTTTCGGCATTAACACTCAACCATAAGATACCCAGCTGTCTGGCCTTGCGAGCCTCCGACGTTAACAATGAACGTGAATCATAGAGGGTGGCAGTCTGACTGAACTTTATGCATGAACACTCATAACATTTCCATTGAACATTAACAGCGTATGTCTCGCACGCGTGCTTTACGTGCGTTGGTGCGTGTATGCGACCGCTGCGTTGGTGCAGACGAGATGGAGGATGGGGTGGTGTCGGACGATGAGCGGAGGGAGGTCGTGAGTCTGCAGACCTGGCTGTCCAAGCCGGATGTCAAGCACCACTTCCCCTGCACCGAGATCCGTGACAACGGACGCACATACGCATGGTGCAGACTCTCGCTCACTCACTTGGTCACTTTTTTTCCCGCACCTCTGATAAGCACGGTTGGCTACGCACAGTGTGAAATAAATTAAACGTACATACATACACTCTCTCCCATGCACACGGCGACAGCTGCTTCTACTGTTTTCCCATATCACGCGGGTCATGGCGGATTTTGGAACATACGTTGATCGGTCCGGGTTGGTGAACGAGGCTATAGAAAGCATAGAAGTATAGTACAAGGTTTTATTTTGCTACATTTTCCTACGACAGCCCACTTCGTAGCCCACCAAGCCCTATAACAACCTCTTAGTGCACGGTAGTCACCTCCAGTATAAATACATATTCTGATACTAACTGTGCTCAGCCCAACTTAGCTTCTGAGATCTCACGAGAACAGACACAGGTTTGTTCATAGTCTGATTATGATCATCCTGCATTAATCTATACGCACATTATAAGTTAACACTCCTATTGTCAGTTTTTATGAACCATCTTCATGATCACCTTTATAACACCGTCATCTGCTTTCCCCACCTCCCCTCTGGATTTTTTATACTCATCCCGCTCACTTGCAAAAATGTACAAAAAAAACCCTCGTCTCTCCAAAGCCACCCCAAGATTTACATATCCCCCTATTTGTTAAGGAGTGTGTTACTGGTAGGAACCTCCTGGTTACACCAGCCCACATGGGATTATTGTGTCCGTCCGTCCATTGTGCATCCAAAAATGGGAGGGGTGGGGCTGGGTGGAGAGGGGAGGGTGGGTAGGGGCTGGGTGGGGAGGGGCTGGGTGGGGAGGGTGGGGGGTGGGAGGGGTGGGGCTGGGTGGGGAGGGGCTGGTCACCCCGTGGTGCCCTTATAAAACTCAACGTTTAACCTGCTCACGCCAGCTTGTGCCCGCCCTCACAGTCGGCCATATTTGCGGAATACACCACGCCGCCGTTGACCCTGGCCATTGACTGAGCAACCCAACGTTCCTACCAGCTCCCTCCGCAGGAATGTGTTTAGACATACTCTTTGGGTCTTTCGGGCCAAGTCACGTGAATAGAAAATAACAGATCACGACGTTTAGATCACAACACAAGCAATCGTCATCAGGTGAGAGCTGACCTGAACACGATTACTCTCACCTGAAGACGATTGCTTGTGTTGCGATCGAAACGTCGTGACCTATTATTTTCTATTCACGTGACTTGACCGAAAGACCCAAAGAGAATGAATTCCTGCAGTCACGAAAGCTTTAAATCATGTCTTTAGACACTTTATAAATCCACAGTGTGTTGCTTTGTATTTGGTTGTCACTGCAAGTCTCTACCAGGGCTGATTCAAGTCCATGGTGGGGTAGTGAAGCCCGTGTGACTTGCTGCAGCATAAACACAGATGTGTGTGTTCAGGTAAATGGCTGCCCCAAGATTTATTTTCATAGCTTTGTAAATTTGAGCATCAAAGCCATTCGCAGCTCTTAGCGAGTGGTAACAGTTTTTTATTCCTGCAGTGAGAGCCAGTCGTTCCATAATGGGACCACCATTCACTTCCCTTGAAAGTGGCCAGTCCTCCACCACAATTTTGTACTCCTAACACCCAGTCACGTACACAACCGTTATTTCATCGAGCACCATGATGGCAGGGTAGGTGTCGGAGTTAGGGGATGTGAACAATCACTGGGTAAAACAAGGGCCCCGCTGTGACCACAGCTGAACGATTCTGACTCTTTAACGCGCCACTCGCAAACCCTCGCTCGCAAAACCGCGTCTGTGACCGCTTGCCCCATTTCCGACGTCCGCAGTCATCTGCTGGTGACGGCCACGCACCTGTACGGCCTTCGAGAGTTGGGGAGCCGGGGCGGTGGCGGGGCCGATGGCGCGTGCATCGTGTCGCGCCGCGCCCTGAGCTCCGTGCTCAAGATCACGTCCAAGAAGAGGCGGCCTGAGCTCATCACCTTCAAGTTCGGCGTCGCCGATGGCAACAACCTCACGCTGCACGCCACCGACAGGTGAGGCTCTCCGGGGGCACGGCTCGCGCCTGCGGGTCGGCACTGAAGCGAAAACAAACTATTTGTTATTTTACCAGGTAAGGCCCACTGAGCTATGTAGCTCTTTTTAAGAAGCGACCTGGCCAAGTGGCTTACCATGTGAAAATGTATTGCAGCCAAATACTCTAAACGCACGTTTCTAATTGTGGAGGGAAAAACCTGAGGGCCCGTAGAAAAATCCACACGACCACAGGGAGAACATGCACACTCCAAATCTACAGCAGCAGGCGTCAAGGTCGAGCCCACGACCTGTATACCAGGCGAGGTAGTTAACATCTCCTAGCCACTATAGCCGTAACACACGAGCGTGACGACACACGGAACGTTGTACACGGGATAACGCACGCTGGAGATGGTGCGTGTAGCTCCTTATACAACCGGCAAAGTGGTCTTGTGCATAGCTGGAAGAAGACTTCTGCTGCTATATGTCCATATTGGGCTTGATCCACAACTCTCCTTTCACGTGCTGACACCTTCACATGAAACCCTTCAGAATGTGAAATTGTCTTTGAAAGCCACAAAGTGGCATTGTCCCCAAAGTTAAGGTGTCGCAGAGTGCACGTGTCCTGGCGCCCCCCCGCATCCCGAGCGCCCCCGAGTCCTTACACGTCAACGCGTGCGTTCCCGCCTTCTCACGTAGCCCTCTCTGTGTCCCGTTGCAGGTACCTTATCCCTAATGCCGGCGAAGCCACCAAACTCGTGAAGCAACAGATAATGAGGGTCCTGGACGCACTGGAGACTTAACCGCGGATGCTCACGCACACACCCACGTGTGTCACCTCGCACTTGTGCCGCACACTGGCACGTGTGTGAGTAAGCACACTTCACTAAGCACACACACGCACACTATTCATTCACCCATACTTTGCAGCCCCCGCAGATGCCTACAGTTTCAATCGCCGAGGAACCTTCGAAGGCCAGAGACCTGCCACTCTTTTGCACAAAATGCCTGGGGAGGCAATTTCAGCGGCAAACTTTGTAGCCGTCAATAAACGCTTCGGGAGGGTGAGAAAGGCACAGGAAGTGTACGCAACTCTCACTAGTAAGGATGAGCCACACTCCAGGAACAATCAGAAGTGCAATAGGTCGTTGTTTGTCTCCCTATTCACATGAGCAACGGGGTAGCGCTCATCTCAATTGGCAGCCCCCCAGACTAGTGATGGAAAGTCAACATTTCCATGGAGGGTGCCAGTGACGTTGGTACAAAGGACCACTGTTGACGTCCCACAAAGTGGGTGTCGAAAGTGGCTTGCGTCAACTGAAAAGGAATAATGGGCCGAGAGAATTCCCCCCTACCCCCAACCTGAGACGTGAGCTTGCAGCCTTCCCATTGTGCATTGTGCTCTGAGCAACGAATACTACCCAGCTAGATTCAACAAGCCGTTTCCACAGCTGAAATTAACATAGCCTAAAAATTATTCCGAGTGTGGAACTCCATCATAAACTGCTAAGCCACTCTAGGAGGGGGGGGCGGAAATGATGGGGGGAAGCCTTGTAACCTCATCGGAGGCTCTATAAAACTATAGTTAATCAATGTGTGCTCCGAATAATCATTAGTGCAAGGAAGCAATGGGATGCAATGTTACTATTTCAGAAACAGTAATCAGAATCGTTTCTAGACGAGAAGCTATTCGATGATCTTATGCAGCTCACTTTTCACAGATGTCCAGTAGCTTGCAGAGGAGCACTGAACATGGCATTGCGTGCACTTAGAATGGTGGGGAAATCATGTTCTACAGAGGGAGGAAAAGGTTAATCTGTTCACGTCACATCCTTCACAACACACAGTTTACTTTAATTCCTTATTTAACCAGGTGACAGCACGGTGAGATGCATCTAATTTAGCGAGGGAGACTTGTATTTGTGTCACAGTGAAATCGTCTCCCTGGACAAAAATAACAATGGATGGGGGTGGCTCTCATCTCCAGTGGCGGCACCGAGAAATTGATGGAAATTCCGCTGTTTCCACAGCGAAGGGCCAAACTCCCATTGGATGATTGCTGTTTAATTTCGGATGGATTCTACAGATGGAGCCAACCGCCAACTTGGGTTTGAACTTGCGATTGCGAGTTCGCGTATTCTGACCACGACACCACCTGGCGGCGTATAACGTATTTATAGAGGTGCATATATTTTGTTTACATTCAATTGTGGGTACTTTGCAGACTTGGGAATCGGGCTATGATAAACCAGCACACAATGCGCTTTTCTTTTTCTGAAAGTTATCGCAGGGTTCTTTTAAAAAGTATGTTTTATGGGTACACGGCACTCCCTTCAACTCCACGCAGACATTGCCTCGCAGCAACAGGAAATTAATGTGGCCTCCGCGTAACCTTTTTTGAAGCACGCATTTGCACTCCATACTGTACACATTGCATCCACGCACATGTAAAATATACCCTCTTAATTTTATACCCCTGATGACACGGTCAATAAAGTACGTGCACACAATCAACATGTACGTGTGGCACGCTTACTAGACGTTAATGGATTTAATGTATCAATTTGTTTGCAAAAATACTGTATACCATTGTCAATAGATTCCGTGTATCTTCCACTACCGGAATCGACACCAGTCTCTTTGTTATCGGCGTCATTGCTGCTGCTTTATATCATTTTGTCTTCATCATCATCAAGCACATTGACACCTTCCATCACCATCGCCTCAAGTCGCCAGCGCATACACATTCCCCTGCCTGTCTTGGGTGTTGTCGTGGTTGCAATTAATAAGTCAGATGCAATAAAACATTATTCCTTGAATGTGCAAGCGCCTGGTCCCTTTGTGCAGCCTTGCCTGAGGATACGGTGGAGAATTGTGGCCGAGTGGGCAAGCTTGCAACAATATATATTTTTTATTCTTAACATTGTGCTCTTGTTTACCCTGGGAAAGCTTCACTTGAGTCTTTGTGACTTTTCAGGAGGGCCCTGCAACGTTTTTTTTGTTTACAGTCGTTGACAATGGTTGCGATGCATAGTTCCAAATTAATGTATGTATCATGAACTTCTTTCGCGCCATACGTAGCCAACTGTGCTAATTGGAGGTGCAGATATTTAGGGTATATATTTTTTGGACTTTGATGCCGGCAAAAAAACGGCCTTCTCTTGAGAATGATGTCACGGGATCTTAAACGTCCACTGTGAAGCAGACGAGCGAGTACTTTATGGTTAATGCACCCGCAAAATTAACCAGGGCGGCCGCTAGATTCGAACTTTGAACCTTTGCAACAAACGGTGAATGCCCTCCCCGCTGGGCCGTGTCGCCACCCTTGTGGAGTGTGACCCAGTGTGCTGTAGGTGGACTTTACCTGTGGGGCAGTACGAGAGTGAACACTTGTGGTGGAAACTTAAAAATTCTTGTGCCAGGAGCTCCAGATATCTTCAGATGTCCAATTTGAATCCGGGTCCTGCTGGTATTTGGTAATTTCCTTCGCTTGAATTCAAGTATTTATCAATATAGGTGGGATAGTTTTAATTCGTGTTATTCAAATTCGGTCAATTAAATTGGTAATTTGACAGGACACGATCTCAGGCATCTTGCCCAGAGTGCAGCTATCGTGGTGTGAGGAGGTGCGGAAGAGTGCGTTGATCATGGGAGGGTTTTGTTGTATCATGTTTCACCTCGCTGGTCATTGCGGGTTGGTGAAGCGGCGACCCAGGACCAGTTCAGGTATCTGCACATCTGTGAGAAAGAACTACGTAACCCATCGGATTCCTCCGGTCGAAATAAACAATCTGATTCTAATATCACTCGCCACTGATCTCAGCCGTGGCAGGGAACCGGTCCTGGGACCTTTTGTCCCTTCACAATGACCCCGTGGAAAACGAATTTGATCCATGGACAATTTCCCAAGTGGCTCAAGTGGCTGTCAGTGCAGTGACCTAAATGCCACTCATCCTATTTGTTAAGCAGCTTCACGAGTCGGTCATGGGCCGGTACACGACGTCACGAGGTGGAGGTTAAGTTGCTTCAATAGAAAGAGGGGTTGAGTGAGAAGAGCCTGAGATGGTTTCGGACATGTGGCAAGGTAGGAAGACTGTTGTGAGAAAGAGAGTGCAGAAGATGGAAAAATTTAGGGAAAGCTGAGAAGGAGAGTGACGAGGCCGCGTCAGTGGCGAAACGGGAGCGATGTCGAAGGGTCACGGTGGAGATTGTGAAGAGAGAGTTCGACAGAGGAGTCGGAAAACGGAACCCGCTTATTTGGGACATGCTCGGAAGAGGACGTGACAGGAAAAATTGGCCGGCAAACAATGGTAAGTCATGCCGGTTCCTCCTTCCGACATGACGATGTTTTCGCAAAAGGGAAATGGCAGTTGCCATCGGTTGCACGATTAATAGGTTCCATATCGGGACTTCTAAATCTTCACGCCGACCACTGTACATATTCATATACTGTACACACCTGCCAACGCTGAAGTGTAAATATCGCCACGTTTGATTGTAAACATCGTTCCCATCGGTAGTTGTGCGGTATAATATTTATCATGAATCTGGGGTTAGAAGGCTCAACGCTGGAACCTTAAAAAATGCCTTTACCCCCTCCCTTTGCTGAGTGAGAGTCAAAGTCCAGAGAGAAAAACAATCCAGGGCAAATAGAAATATCTTTCAAAATTGAAACGTGACCTCAAAACTCACCTGTCACCTCAGCACTAAGCAGCGAGATAGAGGCGATGAAATTCAGTACAATAAGTGCGCTCTTTAAATGCATTTTTTAAAATTATTATTTGGGCATACGTTCCGCATGATCAAATATTCTACGAACGGCAAACCATTGTTCCCTTTTACCAGAAGAGCGGTCTGAATTGTACGAATTGTTTTGTTATTACGGTCAAAAAGCCCTCAATTTCCTTCCTTGCAGTCATTTGTTTTATTCATATTCGTTCTTCGGAAAGCCCCGTGGCACCAGCTGTGGGGAAATAGAGCCACGGGGAAACTCAGCCACCACACGACTTGTAGATATGACACAAACCCATAATGCATTTGCCCATAGAGCACTGCGTGTGAAAGTCAATACCGGCAGAACTCCATTCCGTGTGTCAAAAACACAAATCAAATCTGAGATTGTTTTTTGTACCCATAACGCTGCACTGGCAAGGCATCCTGAGTTTGCGTTGAAAGGGGTCCCATGTTCTAAACGGAATGCTCTATTGTTTTATTTTTATTAATTTTAATTAAAGTTTTTACCTACGTGACTTTACCGAAAGAACTAAGAGTACGGAATGCTCTTATCAATAACATCAGCAACATTTGTTTCCGTCCAGAGGTCTGCTGCTTGCTGAAACACGCTGCTTGATAATGTTGATCTAATGTTGATCTGTGAAAAAAATAGCTTCGTAGCTCATCGGATTCCTCCAGCTTAAGTCGACATTTGTGACGATGTGTGACGAGGGGGGGGGGGGGGGGTGAGAAATGTGACATCATATAAAAATGCGCAACTTTAAATAAATATAGACAACACGTTCTACTTAATTAAATAGACTTTTTAATAAATGTTTTTTCCTACAACATCAGAGTGCAGCGCCACATTAAATACGCACTACAATGACAATAGTTTAAAGCGATTTGAAGCATGTTTATGGTTTTGGGGGGGGGGACAGAGCTTTGTGACGTCATATTTGAGGGGGGGTCTGACTTTTTGTGACGCCGTGTGACGAGGGGGGGGGGGGCAAAAATCGTCCAAAATCGCGTGACGTCATTTATGGACGGCCCATTAGGAACCGGGCCGCACAGCAGAGGGTGAGCGGTGAGCGAGCGAGCGAAGCTTCGTCATCTGTATTGACAGATGATGAACAGTCATCATCTGCATTGACAGATGATTCTAGATTTGAAGCTTTCGTGACTGCAAGGATTCATACGCTTAGGTTTTTTCTGTAAAGTCACGTAGGTAAAAATAAATAATAAAAATAAATAATATTTTTATTATTTATTTTTACCTACGTGACTTTACCGAAAAAACCTAAGAGTATGAATACAGATGATGAAGCTTCGTCATCTGTCAATACAGATGATGAAGCGTCATCATCTGTATTGACTGTATTGACAGATGATGAAGCTTCGTCATCTGTATTGACAGCCGCTCCCCATCGCTCGCATTGTCATCTGAGCTCCATCTCCTGTCAGATCAGCGGCGGCATGAGATTCTCACAGGAGCGCGAACCCGACTGTGTAAACTTGCGCATGCGGCGAGGGGTCTGGGTTGCGCGCTCCTTGTGAGAAGTCAGAATCCGACGCTTATTTGAGTCCGCACGTGGCCCGCCCCCATTATTTTATTAATTACCACTTCCGTCCGCGCCTCTTCCCCGCACTGCGCACTCGTCTCAGCCACAGTTTTGGTTCGCCCACAAGCTGCTAATCCCTCGCTAAAATGAGCAAAAAAACAAACGTCGCTGGAGAGCTTCTTTGAAAAGGTGGAAAGACCCAATGATGACCCCCCTCCCCACGCCGCCCGGTCCGTGAAAAAATCGTCTTCCACGAAACCGGTCCCTGGTGCCAAAAAGTGTGTGGACCGCTGCGTCTACGGAGCTCCCATCGTGTGCACGGTCACTTCCTCCACCTTGGACGCGCGCGATGCGCTGCTGTGCCGTCGATTCGTTTCAAACGAAGCGTCAATCTCGCGTGCCGAGGAAGAGTGGCTCGCTCAAGCCGAGGCAACGAAACACGCACGCACGCACACACAAGTCGGCGCAGCACGCGTTGCTCACGAAACCTACGTTGCTTGTACTTCTAGATTTGAAGCTTTCGTGACTGCAAGGATTCATACTCTTAGGTTTTTCGGTAAAGTCACGTAGGAAAAAAATGCTGCAAATCTGGCTGTGACGGTCCCACCTGATGACGGAGACTTGTGTTGCCTCCGAAACGTCGTGATTTTATTGTTTTATTTTTATTAATTTTAATTTCATTTTTTACCTACGTGACTCTACCGAAAGAACTAAGAGTATGAATTGCTTGTACTTCTCTCAATCCTGCCTTGCCTGGCACGTGTTCAGATCGTAAATGTTGTAAATGTTGTGGCTTGGCTCTCCAACACACCGGTGTGCTGTGCTAGTGACGAATTGGCCACGTTCTCTTTACGTGACAACCCTTACTAGTTGGCTGTGTCGGGTGGTAGCGGGTTTTAACGACACATTTATAAAAAAAAAAACCCTACTCAATTATGGCTAATATTGGTCGCGAAAGCGCACTGCGTGTTAAACCGGCACGTGATGTTGGCCAGTGCTGGCACCGGCATTCTATATCGATGACGAGAAGCAAACTCGAGCAGCACCCACCGACCTCACCCGACTCACACCCCACACCCACCCCCCCGGCAGATGACAGAGCGCGCCCATCACCACCCCAATCGCCACCACCGACAACCAGCGCGACCACCCCACGCATTTCTTCCTCGCGGAAGCACCTCCAGCGGGGATTTCCGGAGCGAACCGATGCCACCGACAAGCCGGAGAGACGCGGCTGACACCCCCCTCCCCCCCTCCCTCACCACCACCACCTCCTCCTGTCTCCTCCTCCACCGGGGCAAACCGCTCCTCATCTTGAAGCGCCACCTCATTGCGAGTTCACCTCCAGCCCAGCCAGACACGGCGCGGTCGATCCTCTCTTCTCTACGATGGGCGCAAGAAGTCAGCCGTGCCACGCTCGCCGCTGCTGCTGTTGCTGCTGCTGTCACCTCCGTCTGCTGTTGCTGCTGACGCTCGTGTCCACTTGCGCCGCTGGTGATGCCGCTAGTCATGTAACACCATCGTCGTCGTCGTCGTCAACATCA